AAATGCTTAATCGTATTCGAAAATGATCAGACCATAGTAAAGAAGAATAAATACTTGAAGATGCTACAGGTGAGCATTGATAAAAGTCACCAATAGCAATTATTCCAATATTACCAAAAATAGCTGTATTTGAATGTATATCCATAATTTGAGTAAGACGAGAGTGCATAGCACCCCATAGATTTGCTTGTATGAGAGAAACCTCATCAACAAATAGTAATTTGAGAGAATGTAATTTACATCGATAGCTATTTAGTTTATCACAAGACAAATGATCATTTAAGCTGTTAGACTGAGTGCCAATCCCGAATGCACTATGAATAGTTACTCCAAAATGCTGGGCTTCGCACCGCATTAGTAAAGATATAAAGAAAACTCGCGACGCGGTACTATAAAGTGCTTCGCACCTTAATAACATAAAAGATCAAGTTATTGAATTAAGAGGAAACAGTAGTTAGTATAATAGTACTCGAATTTGAAGGCAACAAAATTCTTAGATATGAGACATTCTGAGAATATTCTAGATACGATAATAGATTTTATGTAGGAAATAAATAAGTGCATTATAAGTTAAATAGTTGACACGTGTTTAGCTTTATGTCATGTGTAAAGAGAGAATTAATGAGTACGTGGTCAACAAACTTCAGATTTTGCTTTTGAACTATTTTAATTACGAATAATCAAGTGTAAATAACTTCATTGACATATTATTATTCAATATGCAGCCGTGGATTTCATGCATATATTGCATTTCAAAGCTTTCAATCTGTTCTCATGCGTATTATGATGTAGAAATAAACATTATTTGAATTAATATTTTTTTCTTTGTTGATTTCTTGTTAAATTTGTTTATATAAGTTGTTCAAATCCTTCATCTTTATCAATTTTGATCATTGGTATATTTACAACGACTTGCTATTGTGTCTAAGAGTATGTTCGGGTACAGTCTTGTTATTTGCGACAATAAATTTACTTTCATCATCAATCATTCGTAGAACTAAAGGACAAAACACCTTATTGATAGGAAAAAAAAATGTTTGAAATTATGCATTAATATTCTGGATAGATAGTCTTACCTATTGGACAATAATATCAATTGTATATGAAGTCATTCAAAATTAAATGATTCGAGTGTCGCTGAATATCGTATGCCACGCAAAATAGCAGCTACAATTATATTTTGAAGCATACATCGAGGATAACGATGTGTCAATGGCAGTACATAAAATTCAGCACCTGATTTATGATAGACGGATGTTCAATGACAACATTACTCATCAGAGAAAAGAACATCAATAGATAAAAGACATGTTCTTATGATAGAAGTAATCTCAATATTTGGATTAGGATAGTTGATTTTCTTTCAACAATGCTTCAAAATCTTCTTTGGTTTTACTGCCTGTAAAGATAATTTCATTCGTATATCTATTTTTAGGAGAAGAAATTAGTTTAAGAAAATATTCAAACGATGATCAATTGTTTGCGAATTGATTCCGATAGTAGTTTTCATCATCAGAAAGATTATAAAAGACGGAAATTTGCTTCGTAAATCCGAAATCAAATTTTCATAAATCGTAAAAGGATTTATGAGACCTATAAATCTTTTTATTGGCTTTATTATTCTACCCTTTTTTTTTACACTGTAGAGCTTGTAAAGTTGTTTCTTCTCATTACTCCTTATCTAGCAGTAGGTTCAATATTGTTCAATTTTATTTTTTAATTCTTCTACATGTTCTGTTTATTGTAAGGATGTAACAATGAGATCTTTCCTTCACATGAGCAACTCCTCAGAATAATCATTGTATGTCATATCGACAACCTCAACTTCGTACCACCCTCATTTCTAACTACATATATTTGATGTTCTTAAAAAAGTTATTCATAAAACTCTCTCTCGCTCTCTCATCGTTGAGAAAGTGATGATCGACAATAGTTGATAGAAAAAATGTAATATATTTTATACAGAAACAAAACATACTTATTTTGATTGAAAGCTATAAAAAAAAGGTAGTTTTTCAAAAAAAATTCAAAATTTTCATCTCGTTGAGAAAATCTATTATTCTTACATTGTTACATTTCTAAATATTATTGTCTCATCGAATGAAACTCAATTTCTTGTTATACAATTTATAAATGTAATTAGCATTAGTCATAAGTTCATTCATTTTAATTAAAAATGAGCACATTATTAATATTAGAGCAACATACTGAAATTTTATTGTGTATTTTATAATATTCACCTTGTTTGAAATCTTTTGTTTCATCAATATACATGTATTATGAGCAAAAGAAAATTCTTTTTCAAGATTTTACCATGAAATTAATGTTAAATATATATAGAGTGTCTCATATTACTATTACCTAAATACTCAGCATACAAAGACTTAAAATATCAATTGCATGAAACTGTTCATTTATAAGTCTTGTTCTTTCTTCAAATTTAAACATTCATATTAACATGTTTCATACAACTGTTTTACTTATTCTGTCTGTTACATATCTACAGACAATAACAAGTCAAAATTTAAATGGAGTATTTTTAATTGATTCATGCCAATGTAATTCTACAACTGAAACATGTGAACCAAGTGGACCATTTATTATAAATCAAAAACGATCAAAACTTTCGGTTAAATTTGGTTCATCACAGATTGGTAGTGGTATATTAGGAAATAATCAACTTGATTTATATTTAAATCAAAATAGTTGTAAAGGTTTACGGAATGAAAGAAATCATTTTGCCGACTTAAGATGTCAACATCAATGTGGAGTTATTTGTACAGCAAAACTTCGTTGTATATCAGGTCTATGTCTTGATGATCAATCAATAGTTATTTCATCAGCTTCAATAAAAACAAGAATT